GCGGGCGGGGGGGCGTGAAGGGGACACTGTGAGCAGTGGCCAACCCCAGCTGCTGTTTCATTGGGTGCCCCTACTTGCTAGGCATTGCCACTCGTCCGCAACTAGAAATTCTAAAAACGCCACGGGTAGAGCAAGCGCATATAGTGCCATGTGTAAACAGACGTTAACGGAAACAAGTTTCAACCGAACAAAGAGGATCGCTCATACTTCATCGGATGGCACACGAATGGTACCACACATTGCCACTTTATAATTGCCTATCCCTACCTTGGTCTGTCATAAAAATTCTCCGTTACTTCAAGATTCTTTCTCGCCGCAGCTGCACTCAAGTCTCTTGCGCACGCACAATTGCTGGACATGGGGATCATTTAGTGCATATGAAAGACAGAAATTCAAGCATAGACGTTTTTGACAGCAGCAAATTCCTCCTGCGGATAACTTGGAATCGCATTGCAAACCCGTTTCCATACGCACAGCCAGCTAGCTACTTTTAATTGTACGCAACTAAGAATGCTGTACCATTTCAACAAGTCATTTCAAAAAGGTTACCTTCGTTCTAGGTCTTTACGAAAGCGTAGACATGTTTCGTGATAAATAATCAAAGCTTTCGGGACTTCGCCACAGTAACCCCCAAATGTATCAATCTGCCACTATGCGAGTTACGCCAAGTGACGGCTATTTCGCCCTGGTTGCAGTCAATCTTCGTTTCGCACCATGATTTAATGTTACTAGAGCCATAATCAAAGGGATGAGCCCAAAACCTATCACACACACGAGTGAACGGACGACAACAGGGCTATTGCCACTGCAATCCCTGTTCCACGTGCGCGATTCAGCCAGGCTTTGACCACTGAGTGATAAAGTGTGGGACGATATCTGTTAGAGCCTCTTCGAAGCCTCGGAATAACTTTAACCAAACCGATGAAAAGAATTCTTGATCAACTGCAGTAGTACTGTAATACTTACATTCAGACCGTCTCACACGCTACAAACCATGCAGAAAAACACAACCCTTTCATGGTTGATGACACCACAAGATTACTCGGGCGCAATCTACATGTAGGGCACTCCGGAAGTGAACGAGCCCACTTATAACACGATGCTCATGGCATCATTAGTGGGTTGTTCCGCAACCCCATTTCCCGCTGCTTCAGCAACTCCGTCTGCTCTCGCTGATTGGGCCGATCCCCGCACAGATGCGAAAAACATGTGTTCCATGGCCTTCTTCGCAGTGATCCTCTTTTGATGGTCGTAGACTAACATTTGGTCCAGCAAGTCGACGGCATCCGGGGTGACTAGATGCCTGTTCTCGTCTGTTATAAACCGTTCCCACGGTTTTCGGGCATGTGAACCAATCACAGCATGAAAGTTTGCACTCAAACTCAGTCCATACTTGATGATATAGTCGTGCAAGTCGGCCGTCCCGAGAACTTTTCCGATCTTAACGAGTTGATCCGGATTATCATGGCCATGGAAGAAGGGTTCCTTCCTAAAAATCATGCCCGCAAACATGCATCCCAGGGACCAAATGTCAAGCGAGTAGTCGTAATCCTGCAAGTCAACTAAAAGCTCTGGTCCTTTAAAATATCTGGACGCGACCCTGACATTGTACTCCTTGTTCGGGTGATAAAACTCGGCAAGACCCCAGTCGATAAGGCGGAGCTTTTTAGTCGCGGGATCGACGACGATATTATGTGGTTTAACGTCGCGATGCATGACCCCGTTGGAATGAGCAAAGTCCAGTGCTCTCAGGACCTCGTAGATGTAGTATCGCACATCCTGGGACGTGAAGGTCGGGAACAAGGTTTTGAAATCGCTATTGTTCACGTGCTCGAAAATGAGAGATGGGACTTTGGAGTGGGGATCGCGACAGATATCGAGGAGCTTGATGATGTTGGTACCGCCGCAGAGGCCTTGCAAAATCTTGATCTCACGCTTGATCTTTTTCTTCTTGACCGGCTTGAGAATCTTGATGATGCATTTTTCATTGTTGCTAACGCAGACTCCTTCAAATACGTCCGAGTACTTTCCTCGGCCTACTTTGCGGACGACTTCGTAGTTGTCTTGATTTCTACTTGGGAAAGTGATCGGCAACCAAAAAAAAAAACAGACACACGGATGACGCAGTGCCACCAAAGCGGGTTAGTCGTCGAAAAACGAAACTGTAACAATAGGTGGGGAATTCAACGCAGGCGCATTTGAATGGCAAAAGCGTAGAGCGAAAAAATGCAGCTGTGCATGAAACGAAGGCGGTAAAAGCTGTGATCCACACTTTGCCGACGCAATCACGGGCTACGCATAAGCGCAGTCGTCCATGGATTTGTTCGTGAAGCAGAACAGCAGATTGACGGCGAAGGCACGCTTGACTCCCAAAAAGCGGTGCCGAATCGGAACGGGCGCAGGCGCGGGCAAAACTGGGGACGGCATTGAAATGTTTGACTTACCCCCATCGGACATGTAGATTATCATAGTCCCAATACTCTGCCGGTCTGTGGACATTGACGTCTGGATAGACGGTGGCGACGCTGACTTCGCCGCCGCGTTGGCGCCTGGCTCTGCGGGAGGCGCTTTCTGGCCCCGCGGGCCCCGCGCCGCCCAGTTCGTATCTGCGAGTCCCCTCCAGGGCGGCTTTCAGTGAGACGAGCCACGTAGCGAAATAAGACGGCGGCGATTGCGGTGCCGGAGTGGACGGAGGTCGTTGGGATGCTCAAGTAGTGGTAGCGCGCAGGGGAGGGTTGGGGCGTGACATCAAGTGTTTATGTCAACTGGGGTATGGCGCGCGAGGTGGTCAAGAGGCATGGGTACGGTCGGGGAGGCATGAGTGGTGGGCGGGATGTTGAATGATGGAAATTATAGCAGTACTTTTGCGCTCCACAGGCGGCGGCACGGTTGGCGTCGCGTACTGTACCTGGTCTGGATGTCATACTGTAACAGGCATGCATGGGTGGCGGCACAAACCCACACGGACTACGAACCGCACCGACTTGCTCCCCCCTCCACGCTAACTCATCTGCAACGAGGACGTCGCTGCCACCTTATCCGCCTCATCTTCGCAGCCAACCAAAACAACCAAGGCAACCAAGGCAACCAAGACTCTACTTTGCCTTGCTACCCGTCATGCATCCAACTCTAGCACCGCATTTGCACCCTATGGTTGGTCCCCACCCCCCGTCCCCGCCGCCTTCCCTCCGTGCCACTTTTCGCTTTTTTCCACATTACTAACCACCGCCCCACCGTAGTGCGAACAAGCCATCGAGCACCTCACTCGCTGCCACCGCGAGAAGTCCTTTTCCAAGTTCCTGGGCGGCTGCAACGAGGCCAAATTCGCCCTTGACAAATGCCTCTCCGACGAGTACCTCGTCAAGCGCGAGCTGAACGCTGAAAAGTCTCGCATGGAAAAGCTGCGCCTCAAGAAAATGCTCGCTGAAGAGGGAATGCAGTAAGTACAGATACACTATACGTTAGTGATAACCGGTCTCGTGCTTTGCCCTTCAACTCCGGTCCTGGTCCTGGTCCTGTGGCCCAACCGTGGGCATCAGGTGTCCCTTCGTCACCACGGCCATCTCCTCGCTGTTCTCGCCGTCATCCATTTGCCTAGTTGACGCTTCACGGTCTAAGTCTGCATCTGGAAAAGGCAAGTCCGTTGCCGCTGATGAATCTAATAGTGAGCCGAGTTGGTGCGGCGTCAGTCTATCCTTGTCCGATATGGCCAGTGTCTGCAACGTCCGATTCGTGCCCATCATCGACCGGGTCGCCGACGCCAACAGCAGAGGTTTCAACCATGTGTCATCCAGCCTCTTGAGCCGCTGTGCGAAAATTGTCGCTCTGACAGGACTCTGCGAATCGTCTTCAGGTTGAATCTCGTCACCGTCATCCGGCAAATCATCGCTTACCGCTTGCTCGTCCTCGATGCGCAACAACCGTAGAAGCGGCAACATTCCGCCGCCCAATACGATCACAGTGAAGAGAACGATCGCTAAAGTGGAAGAAACCACAACCCGTCTGACATCGTCAGACCCATCATGACTTGGCAAGCTGAGAGACAGAGCCCAGGCGATCGCCCCTCGTAGGCAGCCACTAAACCACATGATGAGCTTTGTCTTTTGCGATATCTTCACGGATCGCCACTTGTTAAGCAGACTTGTCAACGGGTAGATGTTGACAGCTCGAGAAACAAGTGTGAAGACGATTCCCCAAACAATAGTCCCGATATGCCAGGAATGTCGGAAAGTCGTCAACGCTGTGCCGAGGTACACAAACACAAAGGTTTCGGCCAAAAAGGCAAGCGAGCGGAACACCTGCTGAGATGAAATTTGTGTGACGGTGGAGAGGTTGTAGTGCGCGTAGTGAGCGAGGATGACCGAGCTGGTGAGAATGCCCAAAATGCCACTCATACCGATGCCATCACAAAGCGGATACGGCAGGTAGGCCATGAGCAAATAAAACGAAAACTCTAGAGATGGGGAGCGGTACAGTGTTGTATGCTTGAGTAGTAGTGCGGTGGCGGCGGCTGTTGCGACACCCACGACTGCGGAACCGACGAAAATGTAGACAAAGCTGAACAGTGGGCCGTACCAGCGCGAGATAGAGGCGCCGATAAGCCTGGAAAAGGTGCGATAAAGTACGATGGAAACGGCGTCGTTAAGGACAGATTCGCCAAAGACAAGGAAGTGAAGGCTCTTGTTGACCTTGAGGGCAGAGAAGATGGCGATGGTTGCGACAGGGTCGACGGCAGAGAGCAGAGCACCAAACGTCATGGACTCCCAGAAGAGGAAGGGGTAGCTGATGCCGAGGAATCCGACGGCATAGATGCCCACGCCGAAGGCCACGGCGGAAATTACGGTGCCCGGAATAGCCAGCAGGAATATACCTTGGGCCTCGGCAAAGAAGTCGCGCTTGTTGAGCGAGTAGCCGGCCTCGAGCATGATAGGCGGAATGATAAAGGTGAAAAATTGCTCCTGGTTGGGCAAACTCGTGCCTAGCTCGTTGGCGGAGCCGCTGATGCGGACGATGGAGCCGACGAGGATGCCGAGCAGGACGTATGCGATGCAGGACGGGAGGAAAATGAAGTGGTTTTGCACGAGAATATAAGTAGCAAACACGCACAGGACAAGCTGTAGCGTGAAGATAGACATGCCGACGCCGAGTATAGCTTCGATACCCTCCTCCGAGGCGGGGGGGGCGCCGCCCTTGAAGTTATTGCAGTTGCAGTTGGGGCAGGATAGAGCATGGCGCCGTGTGGAGTGGGAGGACCAGAGAGAGACGATGAGAGAGAAGACGAGAAGAGTGAGGGCGCTGTAAAAGAAGAGAGAGCGGCGGTGCGTGGGCGAGGTGAGGAGTTCGGTGTGGTCTGTGGCGAGAAAGTTGGTGAGCGAAGTGAGGCGAGGAGGAGAGGGGGCGGAATCGGGAGTCGGCGGACGCTCAACGGTGTCTTCGGTTTCCGTCATGGCCGGTGGGGAATTGGGAGGGAGCGGAGGGAGTGCGGAAAGGGGAAGAAGGGCGAGCGGCATAAGCGCAAAGGCGGTGTCGTCAAACAGGGATCGTGATCCGGACTGCCGCTCGAAGGGTGTTGGATTCGGGCCAGCAATGCTGTCTGTTACGTAATGTGATTGGCCGTTGCGTGCCAGCAACGAAATAAGCACAACGTTTGTCATACCGTTCGTAATTCACACGTGTTACACGTATGCAAGTATCCCGCTAAGCTCGATGTTGATATCAACACCTGCGACAATGCCGGACGGTCTCGGCGATCACAGACGACGCGAACCGACCTCGCCGTAGATCGCAAATCCTCCGGAGCATCGCCTCCATCACTGGCTCTCACGACATGTGAAGCCGCCTCCCATCCACGTCATGTCCGCTTTCCTCCGGAAACGAACCTCCGTCCACCTCCTCTTCCACCCACCGGCCCGTCCTGCCCCATCGCTCCGCCGCGTCCGCCTCCGTTCAATCTGCACGCCATCCCCCCCGTTCCCCCTCTCCTCTCGCACCTGCTTCCCCCGCCCCTCGCCCGCGTGCCACGCAAAACCCTCCTCGTCCTCGCTTTCCCCGCCCCCCGAGTCACAAACACCCTCCACCTCACGCCTACGCTCGCCCTACGACCTCGTCAACTTCCGCCGCTCCCGCTTCGTCGCGCATCTCAATGAGCTCTCCCACCGCCCAATCCCCTCTCGCGACGCTCCCACCCGCCTTGATCGTGCCCTCAGCGCTGCTGGCATTGCCCACGAGTCGCGCGTCATCGCCTACCTCCAAACCCTCCTCTCCCAAACCCTTTCGCTCTCTGCGCCCGAGACCCTCTACACCGTCCCACCTGTCCCATCCCGTTACCGCCTCACCCGCGATGCCATTCGTCGCCGTGTCCCGCTCATCCGCGCCGCTGCCTTGCAAGATGACGTCTTCGCGGGAGTCGCAGACGTGCTCCTGCTCGCCCGTGCCGACCCGTTCGCCACGCCCGCACAGAGGGCCCGTGCCGCGGAGGGCGAATACGTTGTATGCGAGGTCAAGCTCGCGTCGACCTGCACTGCTGATTATGCGTTGCAGGCAGCTGCATATGTGAGCATGCTGAGGAAGATGGAGCGGAGCGGCGTGGAGCCAGAGACGGGTGCCGGAGCGGACTGGGCCTACGTGTGGACCGGGAGCCCGGACAAGCCACCAACGCAGATATCCCTCGTGGCACTTATGTATTTGTTGGAGAGGACGAAGCGGGACTTTGGCGTCTTCCTGAAGGAGTTTGATGCGAGCGCACAGGTGCTGCCGGACGTACCAGTGGAAATGTTATCGCCGTGGAAGGGCTATGCGCTGGAGATTCTGCAGGAGAAGGATGACCTGAGGTTGATCGCGGGGATCCGACGCTCGCAGGTAAACCAGATTGAGAGCGTTTTTGGGGTTGCCACTCTGACGGACTTTGCGGAACTTTCGGACAGGGACGTGGAAGAAGTCGTGAGAAAGCATTCACTGCATTCGACTTATCGAACGCTGCACAGGCAAGCGAGCATGCAGCTACAGACTCGGAAGAATGGCGGAAAGTGTACAGCGTATGAGCTTGTTGAGGGTGCTTCGAGTTTGTTGCTGCCACCTGATTCCGACGCGGATATGTTCTTCGACATGGAGGGGTTCCCGCTAATGAAGGGCGGCGGTCTGGAGTATCTTTTCGGATTGGACGTTGGAATGGATGGCGATTTTAAGTTTTGGTGGGCGCACAATCGACAAGAGGAAGAACAAGCTTTCGTTTGGGTCGTGAGATGCATTTGCGATCTTGTGGAAAAGGAACAGGCTGCTGGTCGCCCGAAGCCCCATGTATACCACTACGGTCATTATGAAGTTACTGCCCTTCGCCGCGTTGCGTTACGGGCAAAAACGGCTGCCGGACATGCTGCAAGAAACACACTCGACAAACTGTTTGAAGATGGAATGTTTATTGATGTATTCAACATTATTTCATCGTCAATCGTAGTCGGAGAGCCGAGCTACTCGATCAAGAAGATTGAAAAGCTTGTCAACATTTCTCGAGAGGATGATGAACTTGCAGACGCAGAATCGTCTGTCGGAATGTACTACGAATGGAGACGAAAACATTTCCATGAAGATGATTCTGGTCAACAGGAAATAGTCGACGACATCACAAGTCCTATTCTGGAAGAAATCTTAGTCTACAATCGACAGGATTGTCGAAGTCTTCGAGATGTTGTCAGTTGGCTGCGAGCTGTACTACCGCATGTCGATAAATTAACGTTCGTGGATGCTCAAGACGATCCTCCTAGCGAATCTGATAGTTTAGCCGCCAGCGATGGCGACGCAAATGTCATTGAGCAAGGGGCATGCGGTCCTACTATGAAACACAAACTTGCCGATTCAATTGCCATACGACGTTGTCTAGAATTGAGTTCCTCTTTGGTGGCTCTTGGAAGCACTGAACTTGATGCAGAGACACGAGGGATAGTAGCGCACCTCCTAATGTATCATACTCGAGAGTCACTACCCTCCCGCAAGCAGTTCAGCAACATGATCAAGCAGGCGTCTGAATCGGACTATAGGGACCTCTTCGATGACGATCAGTGTATCAGTGGAATCTCTTGGAAAGGCCGAAAGGCGGATATGGAGACAAACAAACAATATTTTGAATACACGTTTCCCAGAGCGCAACTGTTCAAGTTAACATCTGGAAACAGTGCTGCGTTTGTGGTTCCCAAAGTAGGTCCTAAGAACATTTCTGGAGATGAGAGCAAATCTGACATTTCCTGCTTCGTCTCTTTGAAGGAAGTCAGCTACAGCAAAGAAAACAGTCCGGGTTCTCTCATTCTATCGGCCGGAAGAAATCCTGACTATGAACCACCTAAGTTTGGAGTTCTTGTCAGCAGTGAGGATCTCAAAGTCTGCAATGCTCCTTTGCGACAAAGTATTCTTCGTACTACAGAAAAGTTGACGAAACAGAAAGCAGACGCAAGCGTCGCATTACCCCTTGCTTTTATTGAACGAAGGCCTATTGATGAAGAGCCTTCGAGGGATATCTCCCTAGAAAAGATGCGGAACAGGCAGACACGGAGTGAAAACGTTGCTGAGTTTCTGGCATCGAGGAAATTGTCCTGCGTGTTTGTCATACAGGGCCCACCGGGCAGTGGAAAAACTTCTCTCTCGGGGGAAATTATCCAGCAACTTGTCATGACTTACGGAAAAACAGTTGCTGTCAGTTCTAACTCTCATGCGGCTATTGACAACTTGTTAAGCAGTGCCGTTAGATCTGGTTGTGAGGCTCAGACTGTATGGAAAGTTGGGACACGATGTACCAAGCCCAACGTGGCTCGCTTCAAGGCAAATGTGCGAGATGTGAAGATTGTGTCGTGGCTTGCCGAGTCAGAGGAATCAGATCAATGTACAAGTCCTTCCTCAACTGATCACGCTTCTTCCAAGAGAACGAAGGCAAAAGCCACCGGCGCCCTGGTCGGTGCTACTTGTTATCAGCTGTCTCAGGAATGCATAGACGGGGCGTTCGACTTTTTGTTTGTCGATGAAGCCAGTCAAGTACCAATTCCAAACTTTTTGTCTATGTCAACTGCCGCCAAGTATGCTATTTTGGTTGGTGACCAACAGCAACTGGAAATGCCTATAAGGGGCACACACCCTGAAATCCTTGAGCAAAGCTGTCTTGCATATACCGTGGGTGAGGGCGTGAAAACTGTTCCAGCGTCTCGCGGTATTTTCCTGGACGTGTCGTACAGAATGAACCCAGCACTTTGCCGGTTTGTGTCTCAACACTTCTACGATCATACCCTGGCTCATGCTTCCATTTGCACAGAGAACAAATTAAATTTGGGCTCTAACAACTCCCCCGACTGCTTCCAATATGGTAGTCACGGCATTTCGTTCATCTCGACTCATGAAATTCCCTGCGTCGCAGAAGTGCTGGCTCCAACTCCTTCATACGGGAAGTGGTACCAGCCAATTGAAGTGTTTGTCATATCGCAGATAGTGAGTCAAATACTTGGGCTTTCGTGTACGGTTAATGGAACTTCTAAAACCATTGGCGCTAGCGATATTCTTGTTGTGGCACCATACAATGCACAAGTGAGAGCACTCAAGGACGCCCTTCCGCAAGGCATCCGAGTTGGGACGGTAGATAAGTTCCAGGGCCAAGAGGCGCCAGTTACGGTGCTTTCGACATGTACAAGTGAATCATCTGAGGATTGGGATAGATACAAATATAATGGAGATCATGGCACGGACAAGAATGGATGGCAAAACGGAGTTGCCATGAGTTTCTCTTCCGACAGCATGCCAGGGAACAAGGAACGACGCGGGTTTTGTTTCGCGCTTCAGAAAAACCGTCTGAATGTCGCGATCTCCCGAGCCCAGTGCCTTGCAGTCGTTGTCGGTGATGCGCATGCATTCTCCCGCATACCCCTGATCACGTTAGGGGATGTTGATGTTGCCTCTCTATATGAAAGCATTGTGTCTGTGCAATCCAAGTGAACACTTCAACTCTGAAAAAAGGTCATTTACAAGCACACGCTGGCGCTTGTTCCTTCTCTTTGTGACGCATGAATTCCAAGAGAAGAGCGGGCTTCTATCAGATGTTTATATATATATTTAAAGTTATGTGCAAGCTCTACTAAGTCGCGTCGGTATGTTTCCTAGAAGTTATGCGCTTACATGTACCAAAAATCAGATCCATACGATGGTGAATTTCCGACAGCTCCTTGCACGACAACAGGAACCTTCTGATTTTTCGATTGCGATGGCGTTATACATGTGAAAGCGTCATCATCAATTGAAACAACATTGGTACATTTCTTTCCACCGAACGTCGCTTGCGGTGAGTTGCCAAAGTTGTGTCCCGAAATTAACACCTTCGTACCTCCAGAAGCAGGTCCATGTCTTGGCATGACACCAAGCATGAAAGTAACCTTCGGGGCAGGATAGCTGGGTTTGGCAACAACAATTTCCGCTTGGTACACACGTGGCATGATAAGCTCACCCCGTGGGCCCTCGACAAGACTGAGACCGGAGAAGCCTAAGAAATTAGAGGCGTACCCAGCCACTTTCGTCCCACCTGCACTTAGCTTGACCTGAGCAACTTGTCCGTTATTCTGAACAGAGAACTTCGACAGGTAGAGATTTCCCTTGATGTCACCGCCAAACGTGTTTGATCTATACTCAATGATACCATTGGTAGAGCTCTTGATATTTCCGATAAGAGGTTGAACCGCAGAGGGCGGGTAGTGAGCGCACTCTTTCCGGTTAAGATTTGGATGGCCGTGGTACTTTCCAGGTTGAACAACGAAGAGCTTGTCAGGGGTGTTCTGCGCAGATTTCTTGCCTCCAACGCAGTTGGTAGCGAAATCACCGAAGCCCGCATTCGGCCCGTTGTCGAGAGCATAGAGCTTTCCATTTGTGTGCAAAGTCATTCCAAACGAGTTTCTCAACCCAGAAGCGTACACTGAACAGTCCTTTCCAGCGATTACTGTGGCCTTTTCTGGATTGGCGTAGTTGCTGTACTTGATATCAGTTTTCTTGTTGGCAGGACATATCACGATTGCAGCCGACAACGGGTTGCTAGCAACGCCACCCAATTTATCATCATTGGCATCTCCCGGGACCGGCTTCTTGCCAGGGACCGAAATTCCACCATTGGTGAAGCCTCCAACGCCAACCAGGAGCTTTCCATTCGGCAGAAACTGGAGCTTATTGAGAGCATGGTCATGGTTCGACACAGGAAGTCCGGTCACTAAGGCTTCCTGGTTAGACGCACACGAGGCCCCGGACAGTTGGTTGGGATTAAATACAATGGTCTCAATCTTCCCGTTTGTCCATCCCTGCTCAAAATTCAAGAGATTCTTGTCCTTCCAGTATATAGCACTCGTCGTGAAGAACATCTTCAAGCCATTCGAAAAGGGACTAAAAGCGACTCCGAGGACAGCTCTCTTCGTTCCGACCTGCTTCTCACAAACGGAAAGCACTTTCAAATTTTTGTCAACTTTCAGTGCATATACCTTTCCAGCTGTGCTACCAAGATAAAGACGCCCATCCGGTCCATATGCTGCCGATGTGATAAGTGATATTTTGAAGGTGCTGCCATCCGGTTTTTTCAACTTCTCTTGCTTAAAAATCACCGGTTGGTCTAGCGCGGCCCCAGAGTTAGCCTTGTAGGTGAATGGCAGACCATTCGAAACACCGGCGTTGGTGTGAACAGTAACAGGGACAACACCGGACCCTGGAGGTACAGTCACTTGCAAGACTCCTGGGTCTGATGAAATCAGATTGCTTGCTTCTACACTTCCAAATTTCACTGACACGCCGTTGATAAACCCAGACCCGATGATTTGGATGTTTTCTCCTCCAGTCGGAGACGAGGAGCTCTTCGATAAGCTCTTCATGACTGGAATCGTTGCTGACGAATCATGCTGAAGAACAGGCGAGGCGAGTGGTCCCGAGGAATCAGACAATATCAACTTCGGAGTGACATTCTTCGGTCTAAAGTAGAGCAATTGGAATGCATTGAGACCAGCTATCAGCGTTTTTGAAGAAGTTTTTGTGGTTCCCTTTGAGTTAGACTGCCCCATCACTACACCGGAGTGATATAGCTTGAAAGGCCCCTCATGTTGGACGCTGTAGGAATATTTAGCTGTTTTTGGAGCATCAATGAAGAACGTGCACCTCACAGCAAACGAGTTTCCAGAGAAGGGAAAGGGGCCGAAACTAGCCAAGGACTTGAAGTTGATTGATGCTTTCTCAGACCCGACAAGAGCTTTTGGCTTTGACGTTGTCTGAAGGGGAAGTGGAACTGTCGAAAAGAGGGAATTGCCATAATCATAATAGTAGCAGTACGCCCCATTTGATGCAGACCCTTTCACCTCGACAACGGTCGAGTCCGTCGCAACGTCACCTGTTGAATCAACTACCTCCAGGGTGACCACCGTTTTCCCCAGCGGGAAGGAGGCTGTGAACACTCCAGATTTGTTGTTGTTGGTCTTCTTCATCTGCTTTCCATCAACAACCTCAGTCCAGCTCCATTTATACGATACGATGGCACCTGTGACCGCAGGTGGCCCAGGATCGTTGAAGTGCGAGTGAGATTGGGTTCCATCAAATGAAATAGATGCCTTCCCGTTGTTGTCGAAGTCCGTGGCCATGTAGGGTCCGCCAGGAACAGAGTGAGCTCGATGGTTGAAGCCTCCGTTGAGAGTGTCACTAACAACCTTTCCACCAACTGTGCTGCATCCGCCACCTACGGCAGTTGATCCAGCACCGTTTCCTTCAATCATGATTCCAGAGATCATTGGATTTTCAACTGACTTGCTAAGTGTTACCTGAATATGGCCTCCAACTGGTGACACGTTTGGATAATCGAGCACAAGGCCAATGTTTTTCCCAACGGATGCGAAAACATCTAAAGATTGCTTTTTCTTCGCACCATTAATGATTACGTCAAAGATTCTGGCTCCGGGCTTCGCAAAAAAGGTCTCCGCGAACAACAACTTGACAGTGTACTTCCCTGCTGGTACCGGAATCTTGTAACTTAGAACCGTAGCCTTAGTCCACCTGTGGCTAGAGTAAGCACCATCCCATGAGGCTTTTCCTGACTTTGCAGAAATTTTTTTGATGGGAGAGGAGAAGACAAGACCCTTGCTGGCACTGGTCACGTATTGGGCATTATCAGCTCCCATCGAGGCAACCCCAATAGCGCCTCCTCCAGCGTTCATGCGGAAGGAGTTCGTTGTGGCTCCTGAAATTGCGCATGTCGAAGATCCTGTGGTCGGGGGTGAAGTCGTCGGTGTCGGGCCCCCGCCCGAGGAGCCAGTCGGAATGCACGGAGCCCCTTTAGTCGCACATGAAGCGCCGTTTTTATAGACACCAGAGATACAGCAAAGCTTTCCAGGAGCGAAACTATCGCAACCTTCTCCACCGCACTTCCCGCACTCCTTTGGGCAACAAGCAGACTCTCCCTTGCCGTTGACGCCAAAAATACTCGTACCAGGACACGCAAGCTTGTTTGGCGTGGTTGCGACCTTATTGTCAACATCTCCACCTGCACTCAGATCAGCAGAGGGAATGCAAGGAGGACCTTTCGCATCACAAGAGGTACCTAAGGCCTTCACACTGGAAATACAACAATTCTCTCCTGGTGCAAATTTGTGGCAATCGTTACCGCCGCATTTCCCGCAGACCTTCTTACAGCACGCGATCTGACCATTGTTGTTGTTCTTTCCAAAGACGCCAGTCTTACACATCGGGTCTCCGGAGCCTGACGAAGGAGAATCCTTGAACGCAGGTTTGGATGTTGTTGTTGCTGAACCAGGAAGGCCTGCATTTCCAACCTTGGCATCGACCCCAGCCCCCTCCATAACAAGGCCACTCAGCATAGGATTATTCTTCCCGCTAATTCGTTCCACAGTAAACGTGATGAAACCTCCACTGGGCTTGATGTTCTCAAACTTGATGTAAAGGGGTTTTTGAAATCCTTGCTGTTTGAATACGTCAACGTTGGTCTTCTTCGTAACACCATTGATCTTGATGTTGAAGACGCGATAATTGGGGGACTGGGCTCCATTGTATGTTTCCATAAATAGACCCGCGACTGAATATGTTCCTGGGGAGGCAACCGGAATCTTGTACTCGAGGTTACCAGATGATGCCCAACGGTATCCATGATATACGGCCCCCCATGTTCCAGGAATAGTGAAGGTGTTCGGGTTTAGAGTCTCGGTAACTGTTGCTTTGTTAGTGAGGTAGGTTGTGAGGTCAGAGCGGAAACTAATCTTATCGAGATAAGGTCCACCGACATTGATACGCAAAGGATCGGAAAGTGCGAGAGATAAGAGAGAGAGAAGGAGAAGAAGCACATACGAGAGTTGCCGGTTGGGAAAGGGGTAATGGGACTTCATGTTCGAAAACGGGTCTTCAGTTTGCCTGCGGTGCTAAGGAAATTGCAGAGCGCTGTGACAGAATATATACTTTTTCACAGGCAGGTTTTCGTCCCGGTGTTCTTCTGACTTTAACCCAAAAGAGAAATGGAATGGAACAACCTAAGAGGCGTAGTCACTGTTGGCAAAATATATGTGTATTCGAACAGTTGCGCAAGTGTCGTCGAATACCTAGAGGCATGTTGTTTGAGAGAACGCAGAGTGTGAGGGAATTTGCGTTAGCTGGCACGTGTAAGTTTTGCGAAGTTGTGATGTGAGCAGGAAGAAAACCCCTCAATGGAGGCTGGACAAGGGCGAGTCCTCCGTGACGGGGTGTCATTTTTGGGTGATTGACGACTCAGCCCGTGTATATAGGCCAGTTGTGACTCCCCAAAGCAGAAGCTACACGGTGAAGTTGTGCAAAATTGCAAGCATAAGGTCAAACTCTTGTTTTTGTTATTCGGGGCGGTCCAGTGGGGCCCAGTGCATCTTTTTGCTTCAGCACGGCGCATACCTTATTTCTCGTCCCATGTCTCTGACCCCGTGAAAAAATTTATTCATTCATTGCTAGTCGGGACAAGCCCAGCCTCTCTAGTAGAGGCTGGGCTTGTCCCGATTAGCAATGTAGAGAGTCCCTACGGTACTTGCACTGCTGGATGGTCCTTCCCGATTAGGCCGTACCTCCTCTGCGCAACCGGACGCAGGGAGACCATTGTCCACGCCGTCGGAACATGACTGTGACGTGGCGAGCAGGCTCCCTTTATAGAGTAGTGCTGCTCGAGCTTTCAAGCTCCCTATCCCTCTTGTCACGTTCTGACGTGGAGTATTCCGGCGGACCTTCACTCTCCAGGAGTGACTAGTGCACTCTGTATGCCTGTGTCACGTCCACACTCCTCCCGTATTCATGTCCCATGTACACAGCAAGCAATATTACCTTAGAAACATACTCCCCTAGCGTTAGGTGCGTCCACACAATATTGTGCTAGGGACTTGGGGACTCTTCGTTTGTACTGCGATAACAAGGCCAAAGCCTCTCACATGTTCTACACGTCGCTAAAGCCCGTTCTTCTCAGCTCCACCGCAGCGGAAAAGAACGCTGGGTACAAGAACGAGCCGGGCCATATCCTCTCTGGAAATTTGCGATATCAACTTACACCAGCAAATAGATGCCTCTCGTCGCATAGTTTCGAGGCTGCACATTACGGACTTCGAGAAATGACGGTCAATCTTGCTACGAAAGTACCGGAGGTACCGTTTGAGTAGCAACAGCAGTGCGTACAGCTTTATTTTTGCCGTCCATCACAAGCGAAGCGAGTGGCTCAAGTTTCTATGGATAGTGCTAGAGTACTTTTTGCTTGGAGGCAATGTATAGCTCATGTTATACAAATCCAGGACCGGCACTCACACGTCCCTTCCACAAATCCATATGCAGTACAACGCGGTGCAAAAATGAACGAGAACCGTTCGTTTCATAACGATAGTGGAAAAGCAAACGGATATTGCGACTACTGTTCACGAGCGTAGTATTCTTTGCCTGGATGCTTGCTTATCTTGAGTCCATGGCGACAGATGATATTTGATTTCCTACCTCTGAGACAGAGAACGAATTCATTATACACACTCCCTTGCCGTTGCCAGCTATCAATTGTAGACAATCCTGCGATCGGCTGGCAACACAAAATTCGAGTAGTATTGAATTGTCGTGCTGAGAATCCTGCTCTCATCTTCCATCAATATTCAAGTCTTGCATCCCCCTAATATCGAAAGCGACTACTTCTCAGACGACTACCGCGTGTATCTCCATTCTAAAACATCAGGACTGAACCGCCTTGCGACCTGAGACGTGAAGGTGGAACGAAGGAAAGACTCAACTTGACTGCTTTGGAAGCAAAACAAGATGTTACAAAAGGCGGAACAATATGCCCCAATACTGTAGTTCTGGCACGCGCAAAGACAGCGATGTGGGACAGTCGCTAGGCACCGCAGTCGTTTGGATCTCCAGACCAGCTCCAACACATGAGAGCAATCTGGGTTACCGGCAGTATTCTCGTGACCAAGCACGAGGTTTGTATGTGTGTATGCATGGAACCCATCTGTTTCATGTATTTGTGTTGGTGGCATACGCAGGCAGAAAACCAAGTCATAGTTTTAATTTACAGAAGCGAGATTCTCGTGGGTGGACTTTGAAAAACACCACCATCAGATGGACAGTATTCCCACACCGGTCATTCTGAATGCTACCATGGAGGATGTCCAATAAATTGCCGTTTGAATACATGAAGCGGGGCAGCAGCAAAGCACTTTACAGCAATCAAACCAACAATCAAAGCATGGGTTTACACCGTCATTGGGCGGTAGTTTCGCCAGAGCAGGCCGAGTTAATCTACAGCACGATGTATGTCGCGAGGGCACCTAGACACAGACGAGCTGGAAGAGCAGCCATACAATTCTTACGCAGAAGATCTCAACTAATCCGCATCCCTGGGCCGCATCCCTGGGCGTGCACCTCAAAGCCCCAGTGTAGGAATTCTACCCATAGGGCCTAGGGGGGACCGATGAGCCCGACATACCGTTATTTGCTTTGCTGGCAATGGATCTCAGGCGACGGGGCTCTCGTTGCCATATTCCGGTAGCAACTGTAATCACCTCCAGCCTCCACCGTAAACCTTCGGGTGCACAACGCTTCACACCGAACGCTCAAGCCGAAGATGCTTGGTATTTCTGTCCTACGATGGAAAGGAGAAGCGTTAGCTCAAAAACGCAATCACCGTTCTCTCTGCGTTCCATTTCCGCTTGCTGGGGGCATCTCCTGCGTTCGCCAGAGCTATTTTCATTCACCCTGTGCAGCGGAGATAGCCAAACCTGTAGCCATGTACCGAAAGGTTCCATAGTCATCTCGTCTTGTAGTCTTTCAGTTTACACCGTACACCTTCGCATAGTACGCGTTTTCCTTGACATGCGTTCGAAATGGAAATTGCGCTAGAACGTCACGGAACAAAAAATGTACAGTACTGTCCTGTACAAGGAAATCACCAAAATTCCGCATGAGATTTGTCCTGAGAGGATAAGAACGTTAAATGCGAGCTGACAGCCGACAGGGAGCGGTGCAATCGATTTTCCAAGAGAGAAGAACAAGAAAAATGTAGTTAAAGCCGTAACAAACTCTCGCGAGGTGGATGGTAGGGCGGTACTCGTCGCAGAAGAGGAAGGTTGCACAATTAAACATTCAAAATTTTTTCTAAAACACCTTACCTCCTCTCCAATATCTTCTGAGCCATCCACATGAAACTTACAAGGCCGTTTTCCTGGAAACGGGGCAGCTGAAGCAGGACAATGAAAGAGTTTCCGAAAAGGTCAATTTCAAGAGGAGCGCTATGGAGCAACTTGAAAATCTCCTAGGTTCTGGCTCGATATCAAATACAATCTCCTGCGAAAGGCCTCCTGTGCTACGATATCAGTTCTCCTCGATAGACGGCTGCTGTATTCACATCAAGGGTGGTGGGACTCACACAGTTGTAGCCTCACGTCAAAAGCCATCACCCGTCATTCATTGATAATATAGTATACGCAAAAATGTAAACGTTTTAGACAGATACAGTAATCAGGGGGATTTAGGGGGATTTAGGGGATTTGGGGATTTGGGGTTGTACTAGATTACACATGGTCGACCCGAGAGGGTTTCATTACCGCAACATTCACGGTTGAAAGATGGCTTATGAAAACATCCCTTTTCGTCTCCAGTCTTTCATTATATGGGACGGACACCTGTAAAGAGGCAATCTGCTCCAAACTGCCCTTTGCGTCGCAAAGCTCAGTCACATTCTCACATTCGGTTTTGACTGTAGGAAGAACGGGGTATAAGCTGTAGAATCTTTCGTGAAGTAGAGCAAAACCGCGAGCATGGGTGGCCACCATGTCGTGCAGCACGATATGTGCGGCTCAGCCGTGCCAAAGTAATGTGCACTGTAGCAAGGGTACGGTACGTGCGGCTACACGTCTCGGTATTGCATTGTCTTTTTTCCAGGCTGTATTAGTGATATACTGCATCTCAGGTACAGTTTTGGAGGGCTACTGTTTCACAGCCTCAGTACGCCATGTTTGAAGCCCCACGTTCGGTGCGAAGGTCCGGAAAGCAGTCGGCTTTTCAGCTAGATGAGGAAGGCGAAGGCTAGCCCATAGGGCGTTGAAGCTATGGAGGTCGACTGATGATCTGGTACGAAGGATGCGATAGGCGGAGATCTCTGCGTGCCCAGTCTGGTGGGCGTGCGCGCGGGCTAGCGATACGAGTATAATATGAGCTTCAGGTCAGAGCACGCCGGTTATGTTGACGGCGAAGGTACGAAGGATGTACCTGGGTGGGCAGATGTGGCCGCGGCGCACTGCGGGTGCTTCTACTTGTCGCTGTGGTGGAGGACATCACAGTCAGAACGAGCGATTGCGCGAGCCAGCGTTCGACAATGTGGGTTGCAAGCCGTGACGTCGTATACAGTCGCGCTTTACAGATGTGCCCTCCAAAGCATTATATCCCGTAACGCGCACATTGGCCTGTAGTTACCTACGCATCTCATGAGACGTGATGAAGTGTGCGACAGGAGAGGCTATGCGTATATGGAATGTACCTCAAAGTGACACCCATATATCAAGAAAGATAAGTACTGTACGAATAAAAACGTAAACGACAGACAAAGGCTACAGTACAAACTTTGTACTGTAGCCTTTGTCTGTCGTTTGTACTACAGTACAAACCCTGTGATGATGTGAGATTACGACGAATGAAAAGAGTCTTTTCATTGCTGTTGAGCCGTGATGCAGTTTTTCGACAGCACTGCTGTGTAGATAATGCCCAGCGTAACCCTTCGTCGAAGAGATGCGTATCCCACATATCTAAAGGCAGCAATGAAGAATTTGGAAACCCGGGGCCTATCTCCCAGGTCTCACTCTTGCAGGTCTCCTTCTGCGCTTACTCATCTGCTTCACCAGGG